TTTTTTTTTTTGTTAATTTGGAAAATGTTTTTTTAAAACAGGCATTAAGCTACGAAATCATTAAAGAAACGCCGAATAAATACTTAGTTTTCTTTTTTGAAAATATTCATTTTTAACAATATTATGCTTAGCTGTACGTTGAATATGAATGAATTCGTTTTCAGATTGTTGGTGAAGGTGCCAGCGAAAGGATATGGAGAAAAAACGAGTCAACGTTATGTTCAAAAGAATCAGAACCCGAATGTGATAGAAAATGTGGCCAATATTGTTGGGGACCAGGAGCGGAAAATTGCCAAATAAGTTTGTTTTTGTTGCCACAAGTCAACTAATAAATTTTTTTTAACTCCGCTTTTATTAGCTAATTAATCATATTTAGAAATTTTTGAGTAACTTTGGAAATTCTTGTTTAGTAGATAGCAAGAAGTAAAAACTGTCGGAATTTATAATTAAAACTCTACTGATTATTGCTGTGATATAATTTTTCGAGTTGTTCCAGTATATCGTCAAAATTGCACTGATTGTCATTCGGGAATGTGCCACTTTGATAATCCTTCATTGCCAATCTGTTGTGATGATGCTTGTGCTGCTGGGTGTACCGGTCAAGGAAGCGATCACTGTGTTGTTAGTAATCCTTAATTCAAGAATTACTGAAAGAGATGAAGGATTTTTTGGGTTTCAATTTTACTGTCAATAAACCAGCTGATAATTGAACTTATTTTTAAAAATTAGTGACGACAAAATACCAAAATTCGAAGGGCTTAGTTGGAATTACACTGTCTTTTACACTGTCCACAACTGACAGTAATAGTTATCATTTGATTTTTCAGGCCTGTAAAAGGTTAAGCCAAGACGGTCAATGTGTAGAGCGTTGTAACGGGTTAACAAGCTATGATATTGTTAAAATGATGACCGTTCCACATGAGAAGCCTCGTTATACCCACAATCGTTTCTGCGTTCCCGAATGCCCCCGTAAACCTTTCAGTTTTGCTTTCGAATATAAACAAAATAAGTCCACCCAGTCATTGAATATATAATTACCTTTATTCTATATTTTTTTTCGACGTTGGAAAATTGCTGGATCAGAGTCTTTTGGTTTATAGCTGGAAAAGTGACAAAATTCTCGGATAGTTTTGTGAAAAATTTTTTAATTTTTTTACTTGTGCTACTGTGAGCAACTTTTAAGAAGAATCTAATATTGCAGTTTTATTGGTGATAATAAAGATTTTACTGAATTAACAGTGTTAAGAACTATATCATATAGACTGCTAGATTTGTCTTTAAAGTATTGTACAAAAGCTTTGTTATTGATAATGTTACTTTCATGATTACTTTTTAAGACATTTGGTAACTCTACGTTTCTGTCTTTGTTTTTTTTTTTTCAGTTGTTTGTTACAGGTCGCTAAAATAGTAAAATTTACGATTTCAGATAAACAGCTGATAATTTTCATTTTATTGTTACATTACGACTTTGCTTTTAGCTACGACTATAATTGAGAACGAAAACTGCGTTCATCGTTGCTCAAAAGGATACTCGTACGACGCTGATTCCAGACCATATGTATGTAAACCATGCGAAAACGGAATTTGTCCGAAATGTACGTTTGAACGACTGTGTATTTCAGCTTTATTAATTTTTTACTCTCGTAAATTATTTATGACAAATTAATTTATTGTTTTACAGCATGTCTTCTAGAAGAGCCGCTGGACAGCAGAAATATTGAGCGATTGAAAGATTGTATCATCATAGAAGGTTATATTTTCTTGTCACCATATGCCTTTGTAGAGCATCTTTACATTCCTCCCGACCTATCACAACTAACTTTTGAAAAGAGTTCGTAAGTGTTATAAGTTACATTTTGTGAATTGCTTAATTTGCTTTGAACTTACGTGCATTTTGAATTTTCGTGTATTATTACAGATGCTTTTGCATCAAGTTTGTTTTAAAATATTTTTGAGTGTAGAATTTTACTGTGTTTCAAGGGACATGGATCGGTTCGACTTTATGAACACCACTGTTCCAGCAATAAAGGAAGAACAGTTAGAAATTCTAAGCACAGTCCGAATGGTCACACAGTATGTTGAAATATCACTATTTGATTATTCTCCAACAAATCTCAGTTTTCTCAGGAATCTTGAAACTATTGTTGGAAGAAAACAAAGGTAAAACTGGGTTATTCTAATTTTACTAAAATATCGAGAACAGCATGATTGAACTTCCTCACAGTTGTCAAAAAGAAGGAAAAAATAATTTCGGAAAGGTTCATTAATAAATGAAAAAATTGGTCTTTTAGTTTGGTGGCTTCACTTTATTTTCATCCACTCAAGGCAGCGAATTTTAATCGTTATAAATGCGGAGGTGTTTTTTGTAACCAATGACGAAGATGAGGTCATTAAACTGAAAAAGATCTACAATGA